GCCTCTGAACACCCCCCTCATGCACGTCTCACAAAAGAGAGTGTGAGTGTGTGCGATGCAACCTCGCTCTGATCTTAAAACACCATTTGACGTGCCCTACAGTTCAGTGTCATCCTATAAAACAGCGCAGTCGCACAACTTATGGCCCACTGTGCGTTAAAAGCCACCTCCAGTCTGACCCCAGACCAGTGGAGGCAGCGTAAGATAATAGAGGCATCCGGGCAGCAGCTGACCCCAGGACGGGCTTTGAAGCCAGAGCATCCCACAGAGAGAGAAGCAAGGAGAGGGACTCAATTAGTCAAGTCTAAATTGAACCATCAATCTCGGCTCACTCCATGGCCATCCGGTACGAGGGGGCCAGCACTCGTAAACAAGACCACGCTGTTGCTTCAAGAGGGCTGTATGGCATCTGAGGTGGAGAACTTTATGAGAAAAGAGAGGATAGTTGAGTCTGATAACTCATTTGTCTCTCATGTGGAACATTTTATGCATTAGGCCAACAAAAAACAAAACATGAAGAATAAATCTTGACATTTCTGACATATATTACAAAACACTAACTAATAAAGACAAATAAATGTAAAAATAGGGCTGGGCAATGATTAATCGTGATTAATCGCATCCAAAATAAAAAGTTTGTGTTTACATAATATATGTGTGTGTACTGTGTATAATTATTTTTTATATATAAAAATTCACACACATGCATGTATATATTTAAGAAAAATGTGTTATTAATATATAAAATATTAATATTTATATGTAATATAAATGATGTATAAATATATATTTATATATATATACAGTATATGCATGCAAATATTTCTTAAATATATACATGCATATGTGTGTATTTATATATATATATAAAAATAATAATAGACACCACACACACATATATTATGTAACAAAAACTTTTATTTTTGATGCAATTAATCGTTGCCCAGCACTAAAAAATAATGACATCATATTATGAAATAATATAATAATATTGTAAAATATATATATAATATATATATATATATATATTATAATTATTTTGTAATTTAATATATATATATATATATATATATATATATATATATATAATTTTGGATGCGATTAATCGTGATTAATCGTTGCCCAGCACTAAAAATAATTACATCATATTATGAAATAATATAATAATATTGTAAAATAAATCAATATATATATATATATATATATTCTAATTATTTTGTTTATTATATATATATATATATATATATATTATATTATATATATATATATATATATATATAATTTTGGATGCGATTAATCGCGATTAATCTTTGCCCAGCACTAAAAAATAAATATATCATATTATGAAATAATATAATAATATTGTAAAATATATACAAATATTTTGTAATTTTATATATATATATATATATTCTCCCCATTGCAAAATAATGCAAAATGCAAACGTTTCACAGCCATCACATACTATTAACAACTGGAAAATGTTCTTAATTTACCCGCAGTTAACAGGTATGGCAAAAAAAAAAATAATAACTTTATGGACTCTGGATGAGAGTTACTGATGAGAGGAGTGATTTTGTGTGTAAAAGCACACAGGGTGGGGAGACTCAACGAGAGGCACAGGAAGGTGAATGAGACCATTGTCTGTAAAGGGCTGTGTGACGTATGCTCAGCTTGAGAACTGTGTGTGTGTGTGTAAGGTTCAGTGCTAAGGGAACCAACCAAAGCTCAGCCCAGACCATGAATCAAGCTAAGCCCAGCGCCAAGGCTGACAAACACACACACTCGCACACACACAAACAAACGCGTGGACACTCGGGAGACCCTGAACATCTGTGCCCCACATAACACAGACTGCCAAGCACTAGTGAGGACTACATCTCCTCCACAGAGAGAGCTAGGGGGAGAAGAGGAGGAGTGCGATCATACCATCAAAGAAGAAAGCGTCTCAAAGATTTGGAGTAGTTCAAGATGAGGATGAAGTTCATTTGCAGTATATAGCATTCTGATTGCAGTCAGTCTTTACGAGTGTGTTGTGTGTGGATGACACAGGAAGTGCTCTGTGAGTGTGTGTTTGCTGTCCAGACCCCGGAGAGAGACACTGTGCTCCCTCTGAACCCCTGACAGCCCTTCTGCCCCCTTTCCATTACTAAAGCTAATAACACACACACACACTCCAGCACGCTGCTGCCCGAGCCTCACACTGACACACCACACACACACACAGGCTTCTGGAAACTGTTCTCGCTACAGTTCTGAAATGTATTGCTACACATATAATGAGAGATAAGAGGAGGCCTGGTAGGACTTTTTATTTTTTTTTATTTTCAAGCTACAAACATGTGCTGAATATTTTTTTTTATACTTTTTTAAATAAATGTGTAAAATAAATCTCTATAAACATTCAATAAATTGAGTTAATCTTTTACATTATGATATTTTGATGATCATGAATGATCATATTTCAAATTATAATCATCGTCACATATTAATATATGATGCCAGCCAGCTTTCTAGACATAAACCCATTTTGGCCGACCTATTGTTTTCCAACTTGCAACAATGTATAAATCTGTGAATGCGAGCAGTAACAGGTTGATACGGATGTGCAGTATCATTGAGGCCAGTCCATTAGGGACAGACTCGGACGTGCGTTTATAAAGGCCAAATGCTCTGCTCTTGGTCAAACACACACACATACTCGCCTGACCCAGTATAAGTTTGTCTGGTATCTCATCTTAACAAACGACTCGGCTCGGGCTGTTTATCTGAGGGGAAGTGGAGCAGCGAGGGGGGGACAGGTGAGCAAACGGCTCGCTAACTCGCTGACTAACACACTCCCCCTCTCACTATTGTCTTACTGCTTTCTGACCCATTTCCTTTCTACTTTCCCAGCAACGTATATGCGAGCGTGTGATCCGTCTAGAAGCAGCGTATGGGAAAAAGAGAAAGGGAACGGTTATAATACGACCCTTTCATAATGATTAAAGCATTCATTAATTTTTCATCATAACCTGCCGTTTGCAGCTAATGGTCTTTGTGAGGTACACAAGCAAACAATGGACAGGCGAGTTGAAAAGGGATTTTTATCAGGCTATGAGAGGCCTGGCTCAATGCACTGCCCACTTCCCCCTCTTTATTTTTCTCTTTTCTTTTCTGCTTCTTTTTCTCTATGTCCGTGCTTCTTGAGGGACTGGGGCTTCTTTTGTTTGTACATTTCATTTGAACAGAAAGTAGAGAGATAATGCGCTACTGTAGTCTCCTGCTAATGGACTGTCTGTTTTGCTTGCTTGCTTATTTTTCCTGGCCTCCTGTATACGGCAGCTGTTGAGTTTCACGACATTTGGTATGACCTTTCGGCTTTCTCAAATGTAACTACTTTTTTTTTCTTTCTTACGGAACTATTAAAATCAAATGTAAATGAAGCAAAATCCTGCTTGGTTTTTATAGAACAGGATGATGTTCACACAAATTAGCAGAATCAGTGCCAGCAAAACTCGTCTTACACCAATGTTTTATCTATCATGATGCTTTTTATATACTGGTTAAATCCATTCTGAAGACTTTTCCCCAAATCAGAGCTGAAAATAAAATAAAATAACATAAATGTATACATTTCCTGCAAAACCGCAGACCTGAATGGAAGTCAATCTAGTGACACCTCAGTTTAAGACAAAGCATGGAGTAACGCAACAGTTGTAAGACACCTCCGCACTCCCATACATACAGAAAAAAAGTGTGCTAAAGCCTGCTGTATGTAAACACTATGTGAGTGCTAAATCAGTGAATACAAGCTTTGTTTGCCTGCATTCTTCACATGGTTGACAGCAGGATCAGCTTTAAGTAGCCTTCAGTGTGCACGGGTGAAGAAAACAATTCTCACCGTACAATGAAAAATCCATCCATCCATATATCCATCCATCCATCCATCCATCCGTCCGTCCAGAGTCAGTATTTATGTTTATTTGCACACACATTGGGCTAATTCACATAGGGAGCAGGTTCTGATTATTCATGAGGAACTGGACTCTAATTACAGAGCGAGTGTAATGTGATGTAAGAGACAGAGAGATCCTGTGGAAGGAGCTGTGAGCCGTTCTCTCAGTAATCAGTCTGAAATGAATATGCAAAGTGTGGCACACAATGGCTCCGAACAGCTGATCCCTGCCTGCTTAAACAAAGGCCCGACTTTATCAACAGCTCTCATTAAGCAGAATTTGCTAGTCAGGAATGATGGCTAGATAGATGGAGGAAAGAATGAGTGCATGCGAATGAGTGAAGGAGAGAAAGAGTCCTTCGAAATCCTTCACACTTTCAGTCGGTTTCACATTGTAATTTCATCACAATAAGACATACACCTCTGACTCTCTAATACAGTGAACTTTTTTCCACCGACAGGGTGCCAGTGCTGATTTCAGAAACCGGTGCCCAATCTGGATCTATTCCATGTGCTGTTTCCACACAGAAAAATTGGTTCTGAAGGGGAAAAAAAACTGGCTAACCAATGGAACGTGCTGGTTTCAAAGTTTCAAAAACAACAACTCAAAGCTCGATAGCGCTCAATAATCAAAGAAACTCTCTACACTGGGAAAAAGTCTGATGTGACGATGCTAAACATCTTTAAATTAATTAAATTATTGAATTAAATTGATTCCTTACATTTTATTTAACAATATATTAATTAATGTACAAATTACTACTTTATTCAAAATTATTTATAAAGGAATCACAATTAATTTTATAAATAAAGTAAAAAAAATATCTTTCTTTCCATGGCATCAAAAGTAGCTTGTGATAAAGGTTCTCAAATGTGTTCTCTTATATGTTCTCAAAATCCGCAAACAACCATGTACATTAGTGGAGAGGTTATATTGTTGTTCAGCTCTCAAGATTTTGTAAACCAGGTGAGGATTTAGGTGAAACAAGGCTTCAGGACAGCTTTTTCTCACCGAACGTCACAACCACGTGTCAAAGCGTGTATTAAATTGTCAATCACTCACCTTCTGGCTCATTCTTGATGAGTTCCTCCATCTTGCGCTGTTTGAGTGTGTCGACCACGTCGGCCAGGCTGCCCTTGCGTCTCTCTGGGGTGCCCAGAGCTGAAGCGGAGCTGGGTTCGCTGCCCGGCCGCATGGACCCCTCCTCCTGCTGCTGATGCTGCTGCTTACTGGGTGAGGTAGAAGAGTTGTGCTGGGGGTAGGGGCTCAGGGCCAGGCCTTTACAGCCATCCTGATCCTGACAAAGATACGGACAGAGAGAGACAGGGTGTGTTAAAGCAATAAGCAGGCCTTCACTAATTATTATAAGAGTGTTGGGGCATGTTTAGGTTTACTTTTATCCTCATCTGCCCATTAGAGTACTGTAGAAAGTCTCTCTCTCTCTCTGCCTCTGTCGGTCTGAAGTCTCTTTAGACAAAATCATTAGCGCAAAAAGTTTCAGTCATTTCACCATCACAGGAAGGAACTGTCTCTTCTTCTGAGAAGGGTAGTTTTTCTACTTTGAATCGGCTCCAAACACACAAGAACATCCAAGTTTTTCAACCGCATTTTTTTCTTCTGTTCTTGACCAACATGACAGCTGCAATATCAATCAGCATCTTCAGTGTTTCATGCATTGATCTTCAGTCCAAATATATAACGCTTCCCATCTTATGGTTTCTTATGTAACGTGGCTCAGAAGAATTAAGCTTGTACTCTATTAAAATGAAATTGTCCTGTTGTTGCCTTAAGGGACTATTTCTACCTGATATGAGCCATAAAAATGACGTTTTTACAGTGAAACATAAATGTTATGGCATTTCATAAATGCAATGGCATAAATCACTAATGCTTATATAAAATTGTGTATATGCACACAACATTATATATACAATATTTTTTATCATTGGTGTTTTTAAGCTTATGTATTTATGAACACAAACTGGGTAAATGGAGAAAATGACAGATGTGGAGATTTATGATGAGAAATTGTCACACACACACACACACACAGTTATTTTTACCCAGCTCCGGATCCCATTTATAAAGTTTAATTACAAAACAAGTCAGGTATTTTGGAGTCAAGGTCAACAGTCCAAGTCCATTAATCAGGGTTAATCTTTGGTTAATCCTCATCTATTATCTACCTTACCACCAGCGTGACTGACAGCACCCTCAGCCAATCAGGTAATAGCATAAACCCACTGACGTGTTTGGATCCAGTGACCAGATTTACACCTCAACAATCAACATCAGCTCCCCCGTGTCACCTGCACCAGTCATGCAAAGCAGTCCAAAGTCAAGTTCACAGGATTGATCAAGTTTGATCACCAGCTTCGATTTTAATAATGACATCTGTTTTTAATCATTAACTCAGAGTGAACACAGAGCAGCAGATGGTTCATTCACTAGAGCTTAATGCAACACAAATAAGACTAGAAGACACAGAACAGTGGCAAATACAGTTTTACTTAGAGACTTAAATGATCTGATTTGGCCGTCAACAAAACGATTCATTCAATTTTTTAATTATAAAATGACTCTTTTAACATTTACATTTATATTTAATCAACAAAACTATGTAACATGGAAAAAATAGCAATGGATATACGCTTAGTAGTGGTATTTATTCAATTTCAGTCATACATACTAGTAATTATTTATTAATATGCTGGTTTTTAACAAAGTGTATTTATTAATTAATGTAACGTAAATTACCGCTTGTAATATATATAAAATTATTAAATTAATAAATGTTGTCACTTAATTAATATCAGCTACTTTCTATTGCACATGACAGAAAAGTAATCAAACAAACACACAGTTGTCAACACTCCATATATCCAGATATACTGAATATAATCACACAGATTGACTCGTCACAATCCATCATCATCATCATGATAATAATAATTACTGTAGAACTAATTAAACTGAAACACTTTCACTCGTTACGAGCGCATACCGAGAGACATTTCACAATGATGCTCATTCACAAACAGACTGATGACTGGCAGGCTTAAAAGATCTTAACAGGCTTTTATGATACACCAAAAATATGACAGCTTGCATACTGATTTCCTCCCATTTCTGTAATCTGTCAACCCGCATGTTTTTCCCCACACACCCCTTCGTTTCATCCCTCTCTTCCCCATCATCTCGAGTCAGGGTAGTTGAACTGTGATTAGGAGACTGTATGACCAAAGCGGTGAATTTCGCAAACAAAACTGCCAACTCGCTGTTAAAGAACTAACAGAGAAGAAAGATAGAAGGAAGAGAGTGGGAGCGAGTGGCAGAATGGCAGGCGTTTCTCTCTGCCTGCTTTAGTGTGGTATGCATCTTAAAAGACGGTCACACCTGTCACTTTCAATCTATCTAATCCACCGCATACTTCAAACCGCAGCTCGCGTCTTTCTCCAGAGATGTCGAGAAAACAATTCGAATGGCGTCGGAGGAAACTGTATTCCTTCGCTTTTTAAAGTCTTCGGGCCGTGACACTAAGTCTCGGACAGATGAAGCATCATTCTTAAAGAAGCAGATGAGCTAATGGCTTATGTGTTGATTCCTTTCCCCTATCCTTAAATGTAAGGCACACTGAGTAACAGGTCTACTGTAGGGTTGATATTCAGGTTAATTCCCCGTTTTGTCCTTGCGTGTGTGCGTCTGATTTTACGCCGCATTTGAACGCTTGTGAGTATACGTATTTATATGCATTTCTGATGTGCCGTTCAGTGCGGTGTGGGCGGTTCTGCTTTTAGTTGTGGAAAGGCTGAAACTGCGCCTCTCTCCACGACCCTCTCTTCGTCCTTGAACCACGGCAGCATGGCGACGGAATTAAACAACTTTTGTCCTCTTAAGCTCGTGTGTGAAAGAAGCACATTTAAACACACTTCAACTCCTGCCAAAAAAGCAAAATGCCTTCTTTCCCCTTCTAGTTTTTTCCCTCTCGTCTTCTCCCTTCAACGCAGATGCCAGCATTCCTCCAAATGCCACCTCTTTTCTCCCATCTTTAAAAAAAAAAAAAAAAAAAAAAAAAAATTGTCCTTCCTGTACTCCGCAGGATTCCAACCTGTTTCCCTTAGAGCATTTCTCTCATTCGTTCTCTCTCCCAAAATAAAGCACGCTTCCATATGCTAACTTAAATCCAGTTATTTTACAGACACGGGAAGCGTCTAGTTAATGAGTCTAACTCGATGCATGGCCGTGTGATTCTCTGGCTTGCGTTCACCACGCGCTAGGATACTAACCCTCTATGCTTGCTATCAGTTAAACTGTCAAGAGTCCCGCTGCTGAAACACACACGCTCAAGTTGGACATCTCTCCTCTCCTGCAGTGCTGACACCTCGTCTGTTGTCTTAAGCCCGTGTTGCTGATCTCTACCGTGTTTGTGCAATCCGCTCACCTCTAAACCTGGCTCAACCGAGCTATTGTCAGCCCTGATCCTGCCGTGAACACACACGCACGCACATACGGGGATGAAGTGCTTCACACAGTTTTAAAAAACCATACATTGTCTCGTCCCTGTCCTTCTGTAGTAGGGAATTTACATGAGATTGTGTCATATAAAAAGGCTTAAATGAATAGATTTGTATGAACCAAATTTGTTTGTTTGCCAAAAAAACACAAGAAATGCATTTCTAGTTCAATTCTACAAATTCAAATAATTTATCTGATTATAATAAGTGTATATATGAAGAGTTCAGATGCAAAAGCCTCTAAGTGCCATTTGAAATTTTCATCTTTAATGATGATTTTTATCAAACTTGCAGTAATTTCACTTAAATAACAATTAATAGGTAATTATCATTGCCATTTAAGTGAAATTACTGAACTTAAATACACAAGTTTGATAAAAATCATCATTAAAGTAGAAAATTTCAAATGGCATTTAGAGGCTTTTGCATCTGTACTCTTCATATACATAACATAACATATTAAATAAAACATATAAAAAATATATAAAAGTTCAAAGTATAAAAACAAATTAAATTAGCTTTTAATGATGTTTTGGAAAGTTCAATTGATTTACTTCAATAGTAAAAAAGTCATTTTTTACTAATTAATTTTTAAGAAGAGTCCAGGCTGATGAGCATTTTGTTGTTTTTGACATTGAAAGGTTGTATTTGACACATCCAAGTACAAATCTTATAAACACGTCTTCTCTTAATGCCTCTCATCATCAACTGCACAAAAGGGAGAGTAATTAACACCTCACTATTATCACCCGTGTGTAAAGCTCTTTCCACCTTTCAGGTTTCAAAGCCTTCTACTCTCCGCCTGTAAACAAAAAAAAAAAACTGGCAGGAGTTTACAGACGCGCACCGCCGCACCAACTTCTATTGTAGCAGGTACCGCGCGCTTCAGCCCGCTGACCCCATCGTCACGAAAACGCGCCTCCCTCCCTCCCTCCTTCTCTCTCAGGATGAAGAGGTCAGCGGAGTCTGAAGCGCGTGTGCGCCACTGCCGTGTTAATTTACAATGACAAGATAAAGCGGTAATCTTCCGCTGCGCGCTACCCAGGGACTCGCCGAGTCGATTTACACTTCCCTATCACTTTATACAATTGCCGTGACAAAGCCCCTCCGAGTCCCCACTCGTGTAAATCTCTCTCTCACTCAACACTTCTGCCAGTCAGCGTGGATCGGCTCAGGGAAACTTAATGTCTTACACATGCCAGCCTGCTTTCCCAAAATCCACCCGTGCTTGAGACGGATATGCTTTATTAATCCACATCAAATACAGTGTGCCTGCTTTTTCATGTCTGTCATGTCAGCGCGAGAGACAGATACAGCAGTCTAGTCTTTCAGATAAAACAACAATTACAACTACTGCACCATAGCTGATATGAATAATTATTTACATTTCGATTAGGCTAAAATCGGGTCACCCCTAAAACGGTACCATTTTCGCACATTTCCCCCCCCAGTAGTAGTTTTACTGCAAGTGACTTTAAGTGAGAGAACTGACAGTCATAAACAAACACACTGCGCCGGCAGTCGAGTGTGTAAAGTGAGAACGACGGAAACGCTTGAGTGAGAAAGTCAGAGGACTTTGCAGTTTTGGAACCGTTTCTCACAATAAACCAGAGTCCAGCGTGCCCTGTAATCACAGTTAATTGCAGAATTAGCTTACTGTTAAGTTCCTTAAGTACTGATTCATTGTTTTACAGCCAAATTGATCCCAAAGCCGGTGGAGACACAAGTTTATCAAGAGAGAGAGAGAGAGATAGTGGAGTCGGGGGAAAAGGTCACAGCAGAGAACATGAGATACTACAGCTCATGTGCGTGTTAACGTGAGGACGTGCGATCTGGGTTACAGGGTCCACCTTGCTTATTTGTCATCTTATGGCTCTAAACAAACAGAGTCTATAACCTCCATGACTACACTGACCCATCATGAACTCACACTCCGCAATAACAGATGAACAATCAAGCGTTTGATTCATTTCGGCCACATTCAAAAAAGCCTGCCTATGACGTCATTGGAGTGTGACGGGCATTTCCACACCAAAGGTGTGAGCGAGAGACAATGGGAGGGATTCATCCAGAGACGAGTTGTAGGGGAGGGGCTAATAGCGTATGAGAGGCGACTCACCATGTTCGCGTGTAGTGTCGGGGGGCTGTCGAGTAGTCGAGGAGATCGCGGGGACACTTTGCTGCAGTACGAACTCAGGGGCAAGTGAATGACAGCATGTCCGTCAACCTCTTCATCCTCCAATCGCTGTCTGCTTGTCGCCATGACTACCTCTCCATCTGTTCCCCCATATGGAGAGGCTGGTCGCTTGGAAGACATCCTGGAAAAATGAGAAAGGAAAAGTGACTGAGGCATTCAGGAAAGACATGGCAGAGACAGAGACGTGGCTGTTGTTTAATTGTGAGTGACATACACGGGAGCATTTCACGCACACACACGCATAATGACAGCCATCAACGCCATAGCTTTGTCCACATCCATCCCTCCATCAAAGACACGTCCCACCTACACTATCACAGAGCCATTTACTGTAGCGGCGCCGCACACAATGCGTTTAGCTAGCCTGTTTGATGTAAAGACTCGAGCGGCCCATTAAAGAAAAGTGCAGCCAGCCCAGCGCACATCAAATATCACGTTAGCCAAGAACACAGACCGACAATGTTGTGTGCGTGAGCGTGTGTGTTGCCACAGAAAATGTTAATGACAGTGTATATGGTGTTGACAATGCCAGAGAAAATAGGCCTTGATGACGGTCTGTGTTACTCTGATACCGTCAGGAAGAAAAAGCATTTATTAAATGAACTCTCTCTTCCACAATGCATGGTGAGGAAAAATGAATATGCTCTCGTAATAAGATTTCATCTGGCTCGCGGCATTGCCTAAGTGCTTTCATAGACGCGCATCTCAGCCTTGGAGCTAGTGTCACTATGGCCCTGGGGAATAAGTACCACTCTTTTAAAAGAAAAGGACAGACAAGGATAAAGGGAGATGGAGAGAAGTACTTTTATTTGGTTTGTAGTCTGCAACTAAAAGAATTGGCAAACAAATTTGATCTGACGCCAGTTTCGTAGTAACTTTGCTTTTCTCCATAAGCTAGCTGTTTTATAAGCAACGTTACATACATAAATACATACACACACTTCACATAATTGCAACTTTATCTCTCACAATTGGCACTATTCCTCATAACTGACTTATGATATACCTCACAACTGTCATATTATTTTTCATTTTCTGTTATTGCAACTATCTCACAATTTCGACTACTGCGCATAAGTGCAACTTTACATCATACACAATTCTATTTCTTGTTTCTCTCACAATTGCAACCATGGCTCGTAATTTTATCTTACAATTGCGATTTTAAAAATTTCCCAATATGACTTTCTCATAATTATTTATTTCTCATAACTGTGACCGTATTCCTCACAATTGTAACCTTTTTTTCACAATGTGACTATATCTCATAAACTTGACTTTATAGCTCACTTTTATACCCTAAAAACCTTATTTCTTATATTACACTATCTCATAATTACTAATTTTATTTTATGCTCAGAGGTGGGAACTAAAAAGTTAACTGTTAAGTTTTTCGCTCCAATATCCTTCATAAACTAGCATCCACAGTCTCAGACGCCACATCTGGCGAAGCTCGTGGCCGCCGCTAAGCTTTCTCTTTCTCTCATTTACTGCTTATTTGGTTTAGATTAGCTGTAAAGACAAACACCATATAATGTTTCTAACCGTCTGGACGAGGATAAAAAGCGACTCACCTCAGTCAAACCTAAGACTGGCAGCTATGAAAATGATGTGCTCGAGACAGTCTTGACTATGGCAAGCCGTTTTAGCTTTTATTCATCTCCAGGATATGAATTCTTGATATCAACAATTACATTTTTTGATATCAAGAATTTAATTGTTGATATCAACAATTAAATTCTTGATATCAAAAAATGGCATTGTTGATATCAAGAATTCATATCCTGCGGATGATTAAAAGTTAAAACGGCTTGCCATACTTGACTGTACAAGTGAGATTTAAACGATCTTCTTTGATGCAAAGCCTGACAGCAACAGCCCTGTCATAACAAATTCTGTAACACAGGTGTATTATATGTACGAATGTGAGACTAGAGACTATATCTGTGTTAATTTGGCTGTATGAATGTGAATGTGTGTGTGTGGGGTACGTTGGCTGTATGCTGGTTCACACTGGGGCAGTAAAAGCAGTCGGTGCAGCTGTATAAACTGCAGTTGGGCCGTCAGAGCCGCACGGCCTGTCTGCCCCTCCACCAGCACTGTGTTTACTCTACCTCCAGACACTCACACACACTGGGCCCTTTTGTTTCACTCTGACACACACACCTCTGTGCCGCTCTCTCTGACACACCAACCCCCAATACACACATCAGGACCAACAAAGACACACACACACACGACCCTCATCTAAACGTAGGCCATCGAGAAACGCTTTTTATTAGAAGCAGCAAATTGCTTGTCACATCCGACTGGAACCGAGAACTGTTGTTTTACTAACTGTTGTGTTGAGTTAAGGCAGTAAATTAGCATAATGAGTAGCTGGAAAGCTAGTAGGAACACATCAGTGATTTGTAGTAAAAAAAATACTTTTTTTCTTCGAAAAAATACTTCCTTAAGAAACGGTGAGATTTATAAAACAGCTTCAACATTTATTTTCGACTAATTCACAGCTGCTTCCTATCCGTGCGCTACTTTGGACACGTCTGCATCTCTTCCACGTCCCGTGCGCGTCTTTCTTTTTTTGCCTCTCTCTTCACTACTTCCTTGCCGGCCCACTGACAGAAGCTTTTCACGGCTCCTCTTGTGCAATAAAATGTCTATTTTCCTGCGAGCCTTTGAAGTATAATTACTATACAATTCTGCTCCCTGGGTGAGCAGGTTATAGCCACTATTTCATTTAAAGTTGGCAGACCTGTCATGGTGGAGAGTCTACATGAAACATTTAAAGCTTGTCGAGATGTTGGGATTAAAAAAGAGAGGGTTTTATTAAGCAGATAAATTGGCAGAAAAGCTGGTCTCCAAGGTCATAATTAGCAACCATTAGCATAATTTCACTCCATCCTTCTGTGGTTCCAATAAAAGCCGGCCTGCCAAACACACAGACCCTGTCCGCTGACACACACACACTTGCTAACACAGCACATGCACAAAGAACAGTCTCTGAAGCTTCCTTGCAGTCTAGTCATGTCTGCTTCATTTGCATTGTAAACTTTAACAGCAGTCTTTGCTCATTATCTAGTGGATTAATAACTTTATTGCCGTTCATTTTCACAAGGCTAAGAATCATGTTATTCATAAATAGCAAAGCTGAACTTGCTGATACGGGTGAGGTGGCTAAACGCATATGTAGAAACACAAATGATGTCAGTATAATCTCGAAACATTAGTAGTATTCAGTTCAGGGTGTATTATCAAAGAAAACGCCATCGCTTTTTTCATATCTCATGAACTTTAGCCTTCGCACCCAGTCCCATCGCAACTGAACTTTCATGGCTAATTGTTAAAAGCTAACGGCCGCCCCACCGGTGTGCCACTCGACCCCCTCCCGCCGGCTGCGTACGTTAAACCCAGATTAAAGGCACACTTTCTCTATGAGCTTAGACACAGATTGAGCGCTTTCCTAAGTCCCTCTCATATCACATGTACATTTCTCCGCAGACGCTAATCGTCCAAAATACAGGGTCCATTAAACAGCGGAATGGAGCTGCACTTTAAATACTGAATCTAGGAGCTTTACCTAATCACCATCAGCAGTGGTTAACACTCCAGAAGTGCCTCTAATGACAGGACATAATTTAGAGGCTCACATACGCACACACTTGGATGTGCATGTCCCACAGACAAAAACTTGCACGATGATGCTTTGCGGTGGATGGACAATAATGATTATTTGACCTAATAACTGCTATGCATATGAATAACATTTGATTTATCTTAGAGTAAATTGTATTTTCTTTACATACGATACATTTATTTATTAGTTAACATTTTGACAATAATTTATCATTAAATGTTTTACTTTTATATTTGACGACATCCCTGGGCATTCCCCGAGGACGTTTTTGTCAGATTTTGGGGGGGAATTTAAATCTTCCAAGTAAATTTAATGATATATAAAAACCATAATTACACCGGGTGAAGGTAAATTCCTGTGTAATAGAACTATTTCATTAGGAAGGTCAGCTCTTTTCTGTTTCAGACTGTGGGAATGAAACAAAGTGTGTCCAAAAGTTCAGACAATCAACCCGTTCAGCACAGATAACGCCAACAATGCCTTCGGTAGGAAACTGAGAATACCTCACAATCCACTCAGACATTAGGAGATGTGCTCATCCCTTTTTTCCTCTTTATCTTCTGCTCCCAGGACGATAGTCCCGTAAGGACGTCCCCCTTTGCACAATCAACCATTTGTGCCCAACTCTCTCTGTTTTGAACAGTCTTTTAAGTATATTACTTTACAGCTATTTATAGCTCTCTCAATTTTTCTCTCTGTGGGAATGTAGCGGCCAGCAGCAGGGAAGAAGCGAAGAGCGAGTCAAGAGAGAGCGACTCCGCTGAAGTAAATTCATCCGTAGTGCAAACTTTTGAGGGCTCTTCATGTTGTAATCACTAATCATAGCGTTCGCCGCTGCTGTGAGGGCACTTGGATTTTATGCGGGTTCATTTTCCAGAACTCCAGATCACGTTTCCACTCATCAATGAAAAACATGACAAAAAAAGTGCATTTTAACGACGTTAAAACAACATCTCGGTAACACCTAAGTAGTGAAAAGACACATTCACTTGAAGTAAAATCTAAATATACTAATAGAATCTGTACTAGATGGTACTTTAACCAAAAAAAAAGCTCATTAATCTATCACAAAAAAAAAAAAACTTTTTGTTTGTTCGTTTACAATGACTATAAGATAGCCGATAGCTAGCTAAATGCGCTAACATAGATTTGTTCCCCCCTTAAAGTCACTAAATAATCATTTAACAAATACGTACGTGTCTGTACATACACACACATTATTCACACACGTACTCAGGGAAAACACAAAGCTGCCTCTGTTTCCCCCTCTGACGCGAGGGCTGCAGGGCCACCCCAATTTCCTGTCCAGCATCGCCACAAAAGGCAAGAACACAGAGCCTAATGTCACTGTCAGCCATTACTGTTTAGGCATGGAGGTGAATTCACACACACACACACACACAATCAAAAGTCATATGAGCGAAGCAAAAACAACCCGTTTGCACGCACAAACGCACAATAAGCAATGGTGAGCGTTTGCCGCTGGGTGGACACAAGGCACCAGCGAGAGCGTCGTGCCCACAGCGCCAAGGCAACGGCTGCATCAACACACATATACAGGGAGGAGGGGGGGGGGGGGTTGCCAGTATTTTAGTCATCGCTTCATCTGTCTGCATAGTTTCCTGTCATCTCTCATCTCTAATTATTTATTTCTCTGGACTGACTCATGTTTTCACTGACATTTTACATATTCCACACACACACAATTTCTATGAAAACTTTCTCAGCCTCTGCTTGCCTTCTTTTGGAGTGAGTGAGGGTTTGTGAATATGATGTCCCCGTCAAGTGATTATCCATCGTGTTTTGCTCCCAGGAGCCCCGGTACAATTTACAAAATTACGTCTACGCCTTTACCTGCATTTACAAAGCTGTTACTATACAGCTTGAAGGATCGGATACAAACGAAAGGATTTAGCTAAGCAGTCCATTGATGTTTATTATTATCCTTCCAATGATGCAATTGTTTGGGCCCCCTCACCTCTGACCTTGTTGTCATACGGCTTCTGTGTTATTATCCTCTCGGTCTTGATAAATAAGACTTTAACCTAAATGGCAAAACTCAGTTCCCCTCTATCTCAGAGGATGTCTCGACTGTCAGCTGATCGCACAGGGGAGGTCTGGGAAGACTTCTGGAGGGGGGAGGAGGAAACACTTCAGCATTCTTCTATGCCGACCCTCCTTTTTTTCATGGAGACACGGTTATCAAGCCGCTGCGAGAGCTCATAACACGGACTACACAATGGAGCCAGTCTGCAATGAATGACCCAGAGAGAAGATCCAGAACCTCCATCAATCAGACAGAACACACACACACACACACATCTGGTTTACTATCTTTTTCCAAGGACTCTCCATAAAGAAATCCTTGCAAATTATATTCCCTTACACTTACCATACCTCATCACAGAAAACTTTATTCATTTTTACATTCCCAAAAAAACTTTTCCAGCTTGTTTGCTATAATGTGTGTTAAAGTGACAGGCTGGTGGTTTGATCAGTTTCATCTTTAAAAAATTGAAGTGCATCAGCCACATTTATCACCAGCAAGTTCAATCACACACGCTTAGTGGTGAACCAACCCACAGTGTTTTCTCTGTATCTTTACCAGGAAGAATTGACTGACCCAGAGACAGACAGACAGACAGAGAGAGAGAGTGAGATGTAACACAACTATCCATTAAAGGAGGGAGACAAATGGAGAAGTGTTAAAGTCCCCTATCCCCCTCCCTCACTCACTCGCTCGCTCGCTTTCTCTCTCTCTTTGAGGAATGTGACAGTTTGGCCATATCCTCTGTGCTCCAATAAAACTAAACTCACCCAAAAGTACCACACCAATAATAATAATAATAATACAGTTATATCATAATATTTTAATATAATGTTTATTTAATATATTTATGATGTAGCAATATGTCATAAAATTAGTTTATTTTTATAGATAACTTGCATATCTTTATAGATAAATAAATTAGATAAATAAATTATTTAGATAACTTGAAACACTTAATCCTGTATCTTTAGATGTCAAATATATCAAATAAACAATACCAAACAGTAATTAATGTACATTGCACAAATATTAATATAAATATATTATTACAACTACAAAACCTCTTGCATCTTAAATTGCACTAGTGTTCTAAAAATCTTAATTTAATGATTTAACCTCCTTTTTAGGTCTCATAATATTTCCTCATATAAAATCAGTTTGATTTCTGAACCAATTGAAAATAAAAACAGACTTACAGTGTTTTAGAAACATAAGAGACACGCGCACACACGCCACACATACTCTACACGGACAAATGCTGCGCTTTCGCTCCCGTCCACACACACACACACACACACACACACAGTCTCATGCTCTTTAACCACTGACAGCCAGCATTACTGGAAAGTAGAGTTTAACCATCCTTTTCTTCTAAGTCATTGTAATCCCTGCATTTATCACTATACATTCTGCTTTCCTATGTAATCCTTTAAATGTTTAATTCCTCATAGTTGTTGTTATCTTTTTCTTCCCCCTCTCCTCATCCTCCCCCCAGAGAGAGTGTGATGATTTATTAAAAACACATTTTCCTGACATATAAATGTGTTCTTAATTCAGGGATAAAACCCCAGAGTTTATCGCTGAACAAAAGATTAGTTTCATCTGGTAAAACAGTGCAGTGCTCTAATGCAATAAAAAAAAGTGTGTGTGTGTGTGTGTGTGTTGGGGGGTGAAGCTCGCATTAAAACGGAGTATTATGGATAATCTTCCCTATGGAGCTTTAAAGTCAAACCTTCTTTATTCAGCAGCAAAGCCACTTTTGTTGACATATTAAAGTAGGTGAGAACATTTCCCACCTCGGACCACCACAACAGAAGGCCAACGCAGACATCTGGCCACAATAAAACAACAAAAACAGAGATTAAAACAACATGGACAAATGGGGAAAAAGCAAAGCAAAGCAAGAAAGTTGTACTAAAGAACCTGTACATCCCCCTCCCCTGACTTTTGGTTGCCAAGCGTGTTGCCCAGAGATGCAACATGAGCAAAAAAGAAAGGTTGTGTGCCAGGGAAACACTGACGGGAGATCACCGATCCTTATCAAACACCATCTAACACACACACACATAGAGGGAAATAGACATATAGTGTGCAAACATGCCAAAAGAGTATGTAACCAGTTAGACCAGACTAGAGATAACTTAGTTTCAAAGTGGGATATGAAGAAGACAGTCCCAGCGTTCCATGCTCAACAAACATCTCGCAGTCACGCTGAACTTTCTTCGCTTTCTAAACCACAGACAAGTTCACACACACAGCAAGCCCTAAACATGCCACACAAACAAATAAAGTAGCCTGCTCACTAGTAGACTAACTCACACACACTTTCTCCTGCTTATCAGGCTGTCCCTCGCTCTCTCCTCCCGGCACGGCTTGGTAAAGTGAATGTCTCATGCGTCAGTGTGAACGTACCTGTTAAACTCCTGAGGAAGCTCAGGCTCAGTAAGCATGCTGAAACAAGGGGTCTGAGATGCAGGAGTCCTTCCACGACAACATACGCGTCCAACACCCAGGGACCTCCGAGAACACACACACACATACACGCTGCCTGGTGCTCCTCTAACCTCTCGCAAAACCAAAGACTGTTTCTGTTTCTCTCTGCTGCACACACACTCTCACACGCTGAACCTCGCACTCCCCTCCCTCCCTCTCTCTCTCTCTCTCTCTCTCTCACTCTCTCTCTCTCTCCACCCCTCTTCTATGGCTCTAAGCTGCTAGATCGCCTCTTAAAGGGCCAGAGCATGACATGGTGTAGCGCAGAGCGCAGCTTCATACTCACACATGCATACACACACACACACACACACACACGCAGCAGCACTGCCCCCTTCCTTAAGCCACAGTGTCCCTCTGTTGTGCTTCTGATCAAATGCACACACTTATGATCAAACGCATACACACACATCTAAATTTTTTTAATTTAATTCTAATTTAATTTAATTTAATTAATTTTTTTTAATTAAAAAATAGATGTATTTGACACATTTATTTGTCTTCATATGTCTACAAAGTTTAGCAAAATGACCTCACTTTTTGGCTGTTTTGCCTTAAAACAAAACAAAAATGTTCAAATAAAACAAGAAATATTAAGGCGGATTTTAGGTTCACCTAGGTTAAGTTCAATTCTGGCAAATATAGATCCTGAAATCCTGAAATCGCTGAATTTAAGCATGTCAACCACACACAAACACATCTTAAGCGAGCTGTATGCTTTGTGTTTTCACAGTGTAACTAACATGCTGCCCCTTGTCAGTCTTTATTACAGAGAATGAGAGAGTGAGAAAGAAAGTTAGAGAGAAGGAACTATTCTTCTAAACGGAGGAAAGCACGTCTGACAGATTGAAATACAGCAGCAAGGCTTTAACGGTGAACTTTAAACAGAGTGTCAGTTTTTCTCAACCTCCTCAAAAACACTGAAGTCAACCTTCTGTACATACTGCAGACACATTTAGTGTACGTCTGTGAAGTTACACACAGACATGCAGGAAATATAATTAGTGTGTATATACAATATATAGATATACATACATGCATACACACATACATTATATATATATACATATATGTATATATATATATAAACATACATTACATATATATATATACATACATTATATATATACATATATATATATATATATATACATACAGTACACACATACAGTACAGTGACTGACTAAATACATACACATATAAACATACAAACACATATACACACACAAATCATCTTATTTCCGTTACATCTCCTGAAGTCACGGTAATATTTACAACAAAATTGTCTTTGGATTGGCATTTAATTTATGATAAGCATGAAAAAAAAGTAATGTTTGGTAGATAATCCAATTTATTGAGGAAGTTAGTGAAGTTAGAATAGCACTGTGCCCTGGCCTCTCAAGCATACACAGTAATAATGTTGTTAGGGCATTGTGGTAACATTATTTGTGCATTTTCCTGTTGATCACTGAGGAAATTGTTAGCAGCATGACAATGTTCAAGGCACACACTGACCCAGTCTGACCCCTGCTAAAATTGTACGCTTGCAAAATGGCCCCACAAATAACTTCAGTGGTTTTGTGTGTATATATACTGTATATACACACATAAGTTTATGAAAGTCTTCTTCACACAATCCTTCTTTCAGTGTTCCAGTCAATAATTTCATATGTCTGTAGGACAAACTGTGCTGGACAACATTGGCACATTTTAATACTAGGGTACAAGGATTTGTTTCAAAATATGAGATATAGTGATGCTTGATTTAAAAAGCACTAATACAAAGTGGTGACAGAAGACAGGATACTGTAGAGATGTTTCAAAGGCAAAAAAAAAAAAAAAAAAAACGTAGTGAATAAAATGTGCACACACACACCAGCATAAGCGGCAAATTAATTAGCTTCTCTCAGGTAGCAATTATCTGTAGTTAAACATTTTAACGATCTTTCGAGTCAAGGCTGCAAGGTGATGGAGAAATAGATGAAAATGAAAAAAAAAGAGAGTTGAAATAACATCAACAACAGCCAGTGAGACAAAGACAGAGCAGAAAATCCATCAGAACAGGAATAAAGAGCAGTTCCAAACAGTTTCATCCACTTTTAAAGCTGCTATTGATGAAAATGGCTTTTTAAGAGAACAGGAGCGTGAATGGAGAAGGCAGGTGCTTTCAAGGTTCAAACTCTCCAGATGGGCTGATTCGTTCAATTCCGACGATTCTACAAACTTCACTTTTCTAACCACAGGCTTTTATGTGAGAATTATACTGCAAAGCACACACATGCTCACGCAGGTATTTGCATACATGCAAAGAAAGAGAAAAGAAAATGCTACAAATGTAAAGAAACCCATGCATGTGTGCTCCGTCTTTATTACAAATACATGCATCCAAAAAAGGCACATGAAAACACACAATAGGTCCCTTCAGCAGATGTGTAGTGTCCAAGCCCCCTCACAGCTGTGCTGCATTAGAGGCCCCGAGTACTGAGGGTATGACACAGACAGGCAGTAAACAATTCCCTTACACCGTTACAGACACACACCGCTAGAATTCAGCTATTACCCCCTCTTCAGCTTACTAAAGCCCAACAGTAGTCCAGTTACCCATGTAAATACTATGTACTTACAATTACTGGGTACTAACTAGTACTAACCCTGAACCTACTCCATGTACTTACCTTATATTAGCCAGTACTCTTTAGGGAAGTACACTGTACTGTAAAAGGAAGCGGTACCCAGTATTTATATACTTCACAATATTAAACAGATCAAAATAATATACTTTGTGATTTGCACATATTATTTACGTAACCTCATTTAGTTCCAAACCCATATGACTTCTTCGATAAAAAAAACAAAAGAAGACATTTTGAGAAATGTGCAGGAGTTGTTAATGGACACAAAATCACAATAAAAGTTGCTTACACAATGTGTCTGCACATTTTAAAGTCTTTGAAGGCATATGCCACCTTTGGTTGCTAAAAATATTGGCATCCACCCAATTCGCACTTAATCGTTCTTTTAATGAATTGCTTCATCCGGTCTAAATGATTCATTCACAAATTGGATTTTACTACTTTAACAGAACGAAGCCAGTAAAACGCATACAATAAAACGGGTTGTCAGATGGATAACTTTTCTTTTGAGCTTGAAAACTCCAGTCCCCATTCACTTTCACTGTAAAGAAAAGAGAGGGCAGCACTTTCCTAAGCATTTCTCCTTTTTGTGTTCCAGTCATGCAGGTTTGAAATGACATGAGGGTGAGTTAATGATGACAGTATTTCAATTTTAATCCTTTCTGGATCTCTACGGTTGCCCATCTCTCATTCTCTTCCTTTCTTTCTCTCTTTGGCTTGTGCGAGGCGTGTGACAAGGTTGTGAAGTGTGTTTATCTGGACTGAGAGAGGAAATCTCTGTCTGATGGCTGAGTGGCAGACGAGAGAAGCTATTAAGATAGAGTCCTTATCTTCCCTCCTCAGCAGAAGACCGGCTTTATACATACACACACGCACACACTGAAAAATATGTCTGTTGTCCTCTGCTGCTGTCAGTTATCTTGCAATGGTAAATATCAACGTATCACAAAATACACATCTGCTTTTACATGTTTTACACTTTTACTTGTCTGTAAGGTGCTCTGGGGTTGTAATGTCTAGGCTGTCTATTATTGCTCCTTGTAGTCGTGAATGACCCGCCAACCAGTTGTAAAACTGCACAGATTTGTGTTACACAAACAGCAACAACAAACGTTGGGTGAACGATCCTTTTTTTCTTCACCTTGGGTCCACAAATTTTTTTTTTTTTAAAAATCATAAATTCAATTTGACTTACACTGCCATTGAAAAGTAGAGGAGAGAGAAAATATAAAATTGCCCAATGCATCCGTTTTGTTCTGTCTATTTTGTTTTTATTTTGAAAGAAGTCTCTTATGCTCACCAAATCATTTATTAAACAGCAATACTGTGAGCTATTATTACAAATTAAAACAACTATTTTCTATTTTAAAATGTAGTAGCTATTCCCCTTACCTGATTTTTTGCCATTTTTTTTATCTGTTCAGCATTACATTATAATAATGTTGATGTTATTAATTAAAGTTGAAAATTGAAATGTGCGTCTTTTGAAGCTCCCAGAGTAGGGAAGAATATTCACAACCTGGAGGGCAAAATGATGCTTCATTTCACTTTCAAAGAGACATACAACCTCACATGACTACTACAAAATGCATTACAACGAACACGCTGCACCACTACAACCACGAACCGACAGTCAAGAACCAGTCTACTGGATTACAGGTACTCACAACAAGACAGTAGTTGTGTTTCACTTCACATAACAAGGCTGAAACAAGCTCTAACAGACTAAACTACTTTGCAGCACCATGCAGGCATGGGAAAGAATAGTGTGAATGAAAGAGAGAGAGTGGAGAGAGGAAAGAAGCACCAAGCGTCTTCGCACCATTAGAGCCGCGATGGAGCACTCCATGAGCTCAAATAATGACGAACGATAATGCCCCCCTGGAACTCATCCATCCATCCTTTCTCTCAATACCTTCATCCGTACTTTGCTCTGTTCATCTACTCTTCCTATCACTAAACCGCTGTGTTAGACTAGACCTACTTTCTTTTTGAAAGAAATGAATACTTTTATTTAGCAAGGATGCATTAAATTGACAGTAAAGACATTTCTAATGCCACAAAAGACTTCTTTTGAACTTTCTATCCATCAAAGAATCCTGAAAAACAACGCATTCTCATCCCAAGGCGTCATCTAACTGACACTTTTGACCATACTTCAACATCTGACGCTTTAGGCACCCTTTAGTGTCAGTTAGATGATGCGTGTATATGTTTAGGTCTGGGGTAGGGTTAGGGTTAGACCAACTGACGTTAAAGGGTACCTAAAGCGTCGGATGTTGAAGTATGGTCAAAAGTGTCAGTTAGATGATGCCAGAACGGGCTGTGAAAAACTATATATTATGGTTTCCACAAAAATATTAAGCAGCACAACTGTTTTCAACATTGATAAGAAATGTTTCTGGAGTACCAAATCAGCATATTAGACACAATTCTTTAGGGAGCCTGAGAAACATACACACAAACTGGGGAAATTAGTAGTTATTTCTCTCTTC